AACTCCCTGGTGGTGGTGTTCTTCACGATTCCCTTTTTGAGTTGGTGTGCAGTGTCACGGCTGTGGCCCCCTCCCCATTTTGCTTCCCTGCTGCTGTGGTAAGCCCCAGCCCTGTCCTTCCTCCCTTTTGATCCCTATGCCTGAGTGCCATTGTATCCTGTCCCGCCTGATATCCTGATAGCCAGCGTATTGTTTATTTTTGTATTGTTAAGTGTTCATTTCATTCGTGTTTAATAAAATGTATTTTTTATATGGAATGCTCTCTGCCCCTGTGGATAATTGAACATGTGTGATCCTTAAACTTTTCCCTCTCTAATTTCCTGGGGGTGAAACTCCCCCAGGTGGCGTTGTTGCAACCAACCACAACCCAGTCTGCCCGATTCGTCACATGATTGAAGCAGCGCAGCTCGAATTGGCTGCATGAACTAGCTCGCAAGCGTCGCTCCAACCACGACAGAAAACTTTGAAGTGTGAATAATATTCACATCTGGCCAGACAACCAAAATAAAAAATAAATAAGACAAAACACAAGAAAAAACACTTAAAAAAAAAACACATAATCAACCCTCTAGGAATTCTACAAAATAACATTAACATTACATACCTGATACAAATTGTGCTAGAGCAGGATGCATCAATCTCTCATGTCCATCAGTCGGGCAAGGAATGGGCCCCAAACTCTAACCAATAGTTCTTCTCTTCCATCCACTCTATAAGTCACCTGCTCATAGCTTGCCATTGTATTTACTACCTCTATCCATTCCAGGTGTATGAAGTAGAACACTTCCAGTGGTGTAGGGTTATCCTGCACCCTGTTTACAAAGCTAAACAGCAATCTCTGGCATTTTGTCAACATTGTCCGGTAGTAATCCTCAAAGAAATATTGTAGATTTTTGATTAAATGTTTTCCAAACAACAGGGAAGGTATTATTTTATCCCACATGCTGTCTTTTTTAACACAATCATATAACATGTGCACCAGAGTTCCCTCCTTTCTATTACATCTCCAACATGTATCGCTGCTGATGTCTAAGTTTAAGTCTGGCTAATTTAGAGGGAGACCAATATTTAGTGACAAAACACAAAGAGTTTTTTTTACAGTTATCTTCTGGGATCTCCTGATCCAGGTCCCTTTCCCAACATATTTTAAGGCCCTCCAACTTTGGAAATTGTGTATGTCTAAAATAATCATTGCTGCTCGCTTATTTTTGTGCTCCATCTTAAGTGAGAGATCATGAAATCCAGTTGTACCTTGCAAAATGTATTTATTTGAAAATAATGCCTAATTTGAAAACATCTCCAGAATGCAGAATTACTCAAACGCTATATTTAAAAAAAAATATTGACATAAGAACTGAATCTAACATCTCCCATCACATCACCTAAATCACCCTAATCCATTCATGAGTTGCCGTGATGAAATTCACACAATCAGCAAAGAGTTTTCCTAATTTAATTTAACTGTAATGTTATAATTTTCAAGTGATTTCTTCGGTGGCTACCCCATTTATACAGTATTTTGTGGTTGTGTTTTGTATTCATAATAATTGAAGGGTTTTACATTCTATTGGCCAGGTATTCAGTATCCTAAGCTTCCACATTCAGATCTAAAGATGGAAAAGTAATTCCACAAATACAAAACCTAATGCAAGAATAACTATTTACATTATATTTATCCACCATTTGTTCACTTTAACCTTCTGTTCATTGATTTGAATTAATATCGATCTTAAAGCTGAAAAAAAATCGAAAATATAACTGAAAACGATTTTTTGCATTTCTCTTAAAAGATTTACAGCTTGAGAGATTTGTTTTTAGCACCTCGTGGGTTTTTCACTAATGGCTGTCAGGCTTTCTGAACACAAAAATAAATAAAGAGGAATTATGTTGATGGTTGTATTTGATTTGAAGCAGAGATAAGTGTGATCATATGACGTGACGGCAGCGGGACACCATCTCAAACAGACGGGACACAGACTGACTGCAGGCTGGTGCTGAGCTGAAAGCCCCTCCCCGGAAAAAGCATGTCGTAGGAGCTTTGAGATCGAGGCAGCGCTGCCTGACAACAGCTTTTGGACGCGGCTTATTCCTGGTGTCAGAGTCCGCTCAGAGGGATGGAGGGACGGCACCGGATCGCCGATCACACAGGTGACTCGAGGTGAGATGCGTCAGAGTAAACACCAGACAGGGAAGTGGGTGTTTCTGCGGCGAAGGCGACATTAAACGCAACACGATGCGTCGCTGTGTAAAGCGGTTTATATTCACACTGTTGTTTCCACAGTCTCAGTATTTAGCTCATATGATGCGTGCACCCCCCTCCTGTTGCGTGGTGTAGATGCTGCGCAGTTTAACGCTCAAACACCCTCCTCCCCGCTGCTGCTCCTCCTGCTGCTCCTCTGCTCCTCCAACTCCTGACAGACTTTTGAAAACTTGGGCGTGTCCTTTTTCAAAGCGTTGGTGTGCGTGTGATCAGGTCAAGAGGATGCTAGTGATGAATTCAAAGCCGTTTTCGGACATTATTCTCTGGACGGGCTGTATTTGAGGATGCAAATACAGTGAGAGCCTCCGGACTTTCTGCTGAGTTTCTTCAGACATTCCCCATCGTAAAAACTCCGCAGAAACTCCGGAAGCTGATGTGAGAACACAGCAGGAGATCCTCTGCAGGATTCACTGCCAGTAAGTTGTTGGTGAAGAATCTAAACACCTGACAGACACTAAAATAAAAAGCAACAACAACAATACAATTATCTAAGGATAAATGTCGGAAGATGATCTGGAGTTCAGTGCTTGTCTAAATGCTGCTATGCACACATGTCATGTTGGTAACAAACAAATAACTGCTGATGAAGAAGTTAATGATCAATGGCTGGAGATCTCGCTTAATATTTGGCGGTTTCTTTATTGGTTTGCCTGTAGGGCTGCACAATTTTAAAAAATAGCACAATGTTCATGAGAGGAGCCCCTCTCTTTCTCTGGTCCCCTTCGCTGACAAAAAGTGTCCTTGGAACTGAGCTCAATGTTTTGGAGGGCAAGGCATTGGCAGTAGTTCTCGTTAGCTGTTTTCAGACATGACCTTTAGGTAAAACCTGGTGAATTGGCTGCAGAGTTTACACGTAGTCTGCGTTTCACACATGCACAACACAGCGGGAGTGTTGCTGATGTCGTCACATGCTCCTTTGGCGTGGTGTGTGACGCCGCTTTGAGTCGAATTTGAATGTTGGGGCTTACAGACACACACACTGCTTACTGGTATTGAGATAATGTATATTATGATTTTACTCAATATCTGTGGCGCCCCCAGTTGGTCTGTTGGTGTATATATGGCTGGCATCGATGCAAATGTTCATATCAGTCAATAATCAGGATAAATATCATGATAATTATTTTTTTTGAGCTCATGAGTGCAGGTTGTGATTTTAAACTTTTCTCATTGAACAAGAGAATGAGAAAATATTTGTCTTACCTTCTCACTGATGAAAATTGTGTTACATTCGATCATTTTGATAGCTTTTAATGGCTGGGCTCTGGGAGGCAGGGGTATTAAAGGTGCAGTGTGTTGAATTTAGTGACATCTACAGGTGATGTTGAATGTTTCAGCTGAACACCCCTCACCTCACCCTCCCCTTCCAAACACGAAAGAGAACCTGTGGTAGCAAATTAGATAGATAGATGGATAGATAGACTTTCTTCATCCAACACTGGTGAAATTTAGGCATTACAGCAGCAGAAGGGCATTAAGATAGAAAAAAATAAAATTCCAAAGGTGTTTAGTTTGTCCAGTCTGGGCTACTGTAAAACAACATGGTGGCCTCCATAGAGAGGACCTGCTCCCAATTTAAATATAATTTATTTAAATATAAAGAGCCCATTCTAGACAAAGAAAAACAATTCATACAATGAAGATGAAACACACTAGGGAAAACATCACTAGGATTATTTTATAATTCAATTTCTGCCAAAATCTCAGCTAAATCATACACACTGAACCTTTAAAGTGTACTTGCATCTTGTGTTTGCTACACAGCAGTGGTGAGTGGTCAGAGGCTCCGCTTGTGAACAGGCAAGGCTGGCAACTACTTGAGGGGGCCCCTGAGGGCTGAAAAACTTAAGCAGTGTCTCATTAAGTGGCCAGGGACTAGAGCAGAAATGATGTAGGTGTTTATTTGCATATAGGGCAGGGAAGTGAGATCAGATCATGAGACGCATTCGGGGCCACATGTTAATACCCGGTGTGAATTCACGCACTCAGAGCTGTCCATACAAAAACTACATGTTAATACCAGGTGTGTACAGGGCCATTCTCAAAGTTTTTATTGAAAATGAAAGTTAAGAAAAATAGGAGAAGTTATCCATCTGGAAGTGAAAAAAGAAAGAGAAAACAAGATGGTGAGGAAAAAGGAAAGCAAGACAGTAGTAGGTCAAGCAGATAACAGTATAACTGAATGCTGTCATTAGCATTGACTAATGGGAGAGACACTTGAATTTAAGTCATTATGTTATTTATGTTGTACATATTTGTATTGTGCCATGTGAACACTGGCTCTTCATGTCTTTGTTTTTAAATTTACTTATGTAAAGGTCCAGTGTGTAAGATTTAGGTGAACGGGATTTATTGGCAGAAATTTAGAATAATTCTCATGATGTTTTCACTAGTTTGTTTCATCTAAATTGTATGAATTGTAGTTTTCTTTACCCCAGAAAAGACTCTTTATATTTAAATACTTTATATTTACATCGACACTGAACCTTTAAGTGACATTTTTTAAATTAAAAACATCTTTACACATCCTTCCCTTTGATGTAAAATTCTTCATAACACATTGTTGAAGAATGCTGTTTGAGGGCCCCCTTGGGATTTCTTGCTTGGGGCCCCAATAGACTCTAGATTCGCCACTGTGGAGCGTGTTGCTTCGTGCAGTGAGAGTGTGGAGGAGGTGGAGGAGCGGAGGTGGAGGAGCTGTGCATCTTAAAACCCACTAATCCTGCTGACTGCCGTCCTCAATCTGTGCCTGCTCGAGCCGGAGCAGGACGCGCACACTCTCCGCTTCTCTGCGACTGCAAACAGCAACAAAACAACCACACTGCGGTTGTTCAAAGTTTTTTTCCCTCTGATTTGAATCGATCTCATCGGGACGTGAAAGACGATCGCTGAACTCTTGAAGAGGTCGCGCTGAGTTAATCCGATTCCCCCGAGGGATCTGAAATATCTGCTGGCACCGCGATGAGTGCAGCGGAAAACTCAGAGGCGGACTCCAACAAGCTAGCGAGTGTGATCCAGGTGAGGTGCAGCGGCTCTTCCTCTGACTCCTATCGCTGATTTAATGCGCAGTAAGAAGGGCCTGGGCTCAAATGTGACAAATAAATCTGCTGACACGTGTTTGTGTGTGTTCGTTTTGGAGGATCATTACGCAGCAGTTTTGGAGCAGTGTGACTGCTGTGGCAGCTCCTGGTCTTCCCTCACAATCAGCATAATCTTTCACTTTGTTGTTGTTGTTATCACTGTGTCTCAAGCTATACTTTCATATTGTCATTATTGACTCTTATCAAGGGTAAATGTGTGTTTTCTGTTCACAGAGGCTGGAGGAGAGTGTTCTGTCCGAGGAGAAGCGGCTGACAGTCCGGGGCCCTTCACCTGATGACCCCCCTACATGTCTGCCAGCACGAGTACGACAGATTGTCACAAAGAACCTCAGTGATAGTTGTGAGTGGTCACAGTCTGCTTTTGTGGTATCAAATTAAAGATGAGACCCTTCTCTTTGCCTAATCAGGGTCTCTTTCCCTGTCTCCTTTCTGCAGCGGGGGCCATGTCCTCGGTCATGTCCCTCCAGGAGGAGAACCGAGTGCTGCAGGGAGAGTTGGCAAGGCTGGAGGATCTGCTGGCACACAGCAGGGCCGACCGAGATGAGCTCGCTATCAAGTACGGTGCAATTAGTGAGAGGGTAAGGCAACACACCAGGACAACAGAAACAGTAGAGACGTGAGCTGCAGAGAGCTAAATAAAAACTTAAATGGTGAACAATGCCCTCATCAAGTATCCTGATTTTTAAACTTGATTTGACCCCTGACATCATCTGCACTCTTAGTATAAAATGTTAGATCTCAAACATTTGAAAATCCTTCAGGTTAAATACTGTTAGGGGCTGTTTTCCAAATGTACTTGTTTTCTTGGGGTTTCTTTGTCTGAGGTCTGCCGGTCTCCCAGGTGATGGGGGCTGGAATGAGCTGAAGTGGAATGTTGCCATGGCGTCTGTCACCCTGGGCAACTGTAAACAGGGGCTTCAGTGGAGAGGAGTTGTAGTGATTGTCATTGTGGGTTTTTGGGTTGAACATTAATAAAGAAATGCACATCTCCAAAACCAAAAGGCAGCTCAGATTAAAGAAGCTTCACTATCTGATAAAATGGCTCCTTTACTAAGCTCTGTTGATTATTACATATCAATACTAAGCCGATTTTCAGTCTCTCGAGTTGAGGAGGGGTCTTCAGAGCAATGTTTGAGAAGCTCTAAATCCAGTGACTTATACATGGTGATGTCTTAGCTGCACCCCTAACTAATTTAATTCAACAACATTAAAGTAATAGTGAGTGACTGGAACAAGGTGTTCGCAGAAATAAAAATACGTTGTCCGTCTAACTCTCTGTCCGCCCGATTGTCGTGAACATGTGAAGGTAATTTATTCAAATCTGGTACAAATGATTCATAGATGAACTGCTTAGGATTTGATGGTCAAAGGTCAAGAATCCTGGATTTAAAGATGAACTGATTAGATTTTTAGTTTTAAAAGGCCAAAGGTCACATCTTAGTCTGGAAAAATAATGAACTTTCAGACTCAAATATTAAGTATGCGTGGGATCGACAGTACATGTAGGAGTGGAGTGTGAAATATGTAAAAAGTGTAAAAATCAAACGCTCTCTGCCCCTCACCTTTGCTTAAATGCTCAGCTGGAGCAGGCGCTACGTTTCGACACGGGAGATGGCGACCACAATTCCCCTGAGTCACGCAGCCTGGCTCAGCAGAACGTGGATTTACGCAGACGACTGGACGAGGAACAAGCTGCCTACAAGCGTAAACTCACCGCGTACCAGGAGGGTCAGCAGAGGCAGGCGCAGCTGGTGCAGAAGCTCCAGGCCAAGGTAGGACTGTTTCACACTGTCCTTATCTGTGAAGTGGTCAGTGAGACGTGACACAGGAAACAGATCTCTGTGCTGCGTCTTCAGGTACTACAGTACAAAAAGAGATGTGGGGATCTGGAGCAGATGCTGCAGGACAAGTCCTCAGAACTGGACAAACACAGGCTGAGTGTAAGCTTATTTTCTTACATTGAGGAAATCAACTTTTATCCACACGACCATTGACCCCTCACACACGTCATGACACGTTTTCTCATTTAGAGTCCCAGCGACACGTCAAACGGTCGCCATCACGACGAATCAAGCAGCAACCTGGAAGATGCTCTAATCTGTCTGGAAGAGGAACAACAGAGGTAACTGTTTACACGAGACGTGGACATTTCATCTCATGAGCTTTTACAGGGTTTCAGCAGGGTCTTAAAACGTTTTAAATGGAATGATCGTTGGTCTTTACATTTAGGTAGGTTTGAATTATTTTGATGTTCATGCATTTCAAAAAGCTGACTACTGATAGGACAGGGGCACTTCAGGGGCAAATCAGATTTCAGCGGATCCACCCCTGGATCCTCCGATCCAGATATTTGCAGGTTGTAATAAAACTATAAACAACTCCAACGTGGAACTGATAACTCATTGTCAAACATACTGGTCAGAAATGATCACAGTACACTCAGCTTGGCTTCCAAACCATGTTCCCAAATTAATATGTAACATAAATTTGAAAATATATAATAAAGTAATTGTGATATTCCTTCATATCTGTCGTACTTGACAGATACGTCAAAACATCCTGTTGTTATCTCTGACTCTCGGACACTGTCGACCACGCAGTCAGTTTTTCCTTTGTGTGTCGCTTGTGTGTTTTGTTGTCAGGAGCAGCAGTTTGTCTGCAGTGAATGCGATGCTGAGGGAGCAGTTGGAGCAGGCAGGTTTGGCCAATGAGGCTCTCAGCCAGGACATCCGACGGCTCACTGCTGATTGGACGAAAGCCAGGGAGGAGCTGGAACAAAAGGAGTGTGACTGGAGGAGAGAAGAAGAGGTGGGAGAAGGATGCCGTAAACTGTGAAACGGTCATCAAGGAGAACGTAAAGTCCGGATAGTTTATTTGTGTTTTCTCTCCTCTCTTCCTCTCAGTCTTTCCACAGTTATTTCAGCAGTGAGCACAGTCGTCTGCTGATGCTGTGGCGACAAGTGGTTGGGTTCAGGAGGCACGTCTGTGAAATGAAGAGTGCAACTGAGAGGTTAAGATCAGCAGTTTTGCACAACCACGTTGTTTGTATTTTGGGAGCTGTGCGCATTCACATGTCATGTTTTCCTCCCTCCCCTTCCTTCTCCCTTCAATCTCAGGGACTTGTCAGAAATGCGAAACGAGTTGGCCCGGGTCTCCCACTCTGCTCAGGTGTCCTGTGCAGGTGTGTCGGCCTCGCTGCACAGCCGAGAGGGAGGAGCAGCTCTGGCTCTGGAGGGAGAGAAGGCTCTCAGGGTTCAGCTGGAGCAGCAGCTGAGAGAGCGACTGACGGAGATGATGAATCTTCAGACTAGGACAGACACAGAGAGGAGCGAGCTCAATACCAGGTCAGTACCATTGTTATTAACAGAGTAGAGTTTCCATGGAACAGTCCCATCCATTGTCTCCATAAACAATGTCAGGTCATTTACAGTTCAAGCATGAAGCTGGCCCAGTTACATCATCAATGCAAATTTTGATAAACTTCCTATCTATATATTTTGTTGTTTCATTTTTATTTATACTTGTTTATGTTAAACTGTAAATTATCAAGCCTCAAACACATTTCTTTGTCATAAGGATCTCACAACAGCATCTTAGGAATCATTGGCAATTTTTTATGTGTACATCGGCTCATTTTCCTCGATTGATGGTTTGTCGATCAGGTTGTCAGATTGTTTACGAGAGGCGGAGAAACTAAAGGGCCAAATGGAGGAGCGAGAAAGAGAAGTTGTCGAGTTGACGAGGAGGCTCGAGGTGAGAGGACCATCATAGAGATTCTGGTCACATTAATGCTCCTTCTTCAGGTCACCGATGGGTCTGTGCTTCTATTTCCTGAATTGTCCTGCAGGAGAAGAGTGGTCATGATGAGAGTGACATGCAGATGATGAGAGCTCACACTGAAATGTTGTTGGACACACTGCAAGACATTGCGCAGGTAACAAGCTGCACGCACCTGCACACACACTCACACTGTTAGGATGCGAGAGCCTCATTTGAATTGTCTTTTCAAGACGACTTTGTCAGATGGAGAGTCGTCATCGGAAGCGGACCAGGACAACGCTACGGCTCCTCTGCTGGCCTTGATGCGTGGCTCGTCCCCTCATCGCTCCTCCTCTCCTCGGAGGTCGTCCTCCCCCTCTCGTCTCTCCTCACTGGCTGCTCCCACAGAGGCAGCGCTGTCTGCTCTACGCTCTTCAGTCACAAACAAGATGCTCCAGCTGCAGGTGACAAGTACATTTTATACTCCTCTGTATGATCTAGGACCGCATGCACACACACACACACACATGCATGCATACAACAACACACACACGCAGTGCTTATTTGATTATTACTCAGAGAAATGTAACAGATATTTTATTTGTCGTATGCCTGTGTTTAAACTGGAAGGAGCAGAGCACAACATTAACAAGACCGAACATATGCATGTTTGCAGGATGTTCGAGGGCGTCTCCTCTCAGCCCAGTCTTCTATACAACAGTTAAGAAAGCAGCTTTCAGAGGCAGATTGGACTAAAAGAGACGCAGAACAGCGAAACCAAACTCTGCAGAGAGAGAAGGACGCTGCTCAGAGAGAGCTGGAGACCACACAGAAGGAAAAGGAGCGTCTGAAGCAGGAGAGAGATACACTGGCCAGGTTAACACAGTCTCATCACATTTAACAATCTGCTCCTGATCCTTACTTACTCTACAATGTGTTGTCCTACATGCATCTTGCAGTGATAAGGTGAACTTGGAGAAGACTGTACAGGCGGCACAGAGCAGCAAACAGATGCTGCAGATGGACTGCGAGAAGCTGCAGCTGACGGTGGCGTCCACGCAGCGAGAGCGTGATCACGAGAGGGAGGAGAAGGAGGCCGCCATTCAGGAGAGAGACCGTGCGAAGGCAGAGACTCAGAGGATGTAAGTAGGGTAAATAACAGTGAGTAAGTGAATGTGATGTAGACACTAATCCACAGTCTAGTCTGGTGTAGCCAACACACAAACAGCAAACATGCATGTAATCACCGGGAGCCATTCAGAAGTTGTGCATTAGCTTACGGAGCAGAAAGGTCTCCGTCTGTCGATACTAAAACCTCATTAACCAACATACACTTTTAAAAAGATCTGATGTAAACCCCATGAGGGCTCCTCTGACAGATGGCTGACAACAGTGTTTGGAATTTTTGGACACAGTACTTTCCTAAGAAAATACTCAAATAAAATACTGAGTCTATAAAACACTTGTAATTTTAATCTTCTGTCTATTTCCTGCAATAGTAGCCTAACTAGAATAGCATTCTATAGAGCAGGTACCTCTGCTAAGGCCCAACAGTCCCCGAATAAAACCACATTTAAATTCACTAGATCCAGATTATTTGGGCATCTGCACCGATTTCACACTTGCACTCATAAATATCAATCAATCAACTCCAGGTACGTTTTTTTAATCAAGAAACGTAGTTATTGAGTTATTCTCTGAGAAATCAATAAAAATGTTGAAAAACCCTTTATCCTGCAAATGATAAAGAAAGTGAAAAATAATTCCAGGAATCTGTTCCCTTAACTGGATCTGCACCAAAATAAACCCAGATGAAAACATAGCTTTCTTGGCGCAGGCAAGAAAATATTGTTATAGTTCTGCATTTGCATTGGTTTGATACAGACAAAAGCAGTGGGACCAAAGCGAGATTCGAGCGTCCACTCAGCGTGCAGAGTTGTCTACAGTGAAGGAAACTCACCAGCAGGGGGAGGTTGAGAGGCAGCTGCTGGAGAGAGAGAAAGCCCAAGTGTCTGAGGCGCTTGCCAAAGTGAGAAAAAGTTGATCTGGTTTAATTTTGTGTGTTTGTATTTTGTGCTCTGTTGAAATTTATGACGTTACTGTCCCTCCAGACTGAGAGCAGTAATGCAGAGCTCTCTCTGCTCCTGAACAAGCTGCAGTCTGAGGCCGCAGCTCTCAGAGACTCTCTGGCCAAAATGGGCAACATGAATGAGAGCCTGGTCCAGGATAAAACTGAACTGAACACTTGCATATCCCAGGTAAGGGAACTTCAGGGATGTGACCTTGAAATTAATCTGTGTGTATTATTTTCTTTTGTAAACTGCCACATTTGGCATCATACACTTTCATACACTTGGTCATTCTGAAATCAAATGTTTGTGAGTGATAAAAAGCAGCATTCCTAGTTGTTTTTTTATGAAGAGTTTAACATTTAGAATTCAGCTGCCTCAACAGGAATTAATGTGTGACTAAATTAGATTTTATTGAGTGGGCAACAAAATTAACCCTAAATTCTTACAGAAAAATACAAGAAAAGCCCATTTTCCTGAGTCCTTCCCTTTTCATATATATATGTATATATGAAACACAGAATTCTCGTGAAAATCTTAAAATAACCAAAACTGATTCAACTTTGAAAATTGTGTAAACACAAAATCTCATTGCTAGTAAAAATCTTTCCGGGCCTGTAATGTAAACGTCTCTCCCTCGCCTCTCTCTCAAAGCTGGAGGAGGAGAGGACCCTCCTGCAGGCTCAGAAACGCCAGGCGGAGCAGGAGAAGTTGACCATCAGGGACGAGCTAGTGCGATTGGAGCAAGACCGGCTGGAGTTGGACTCTGCGCGCATCACTCTGCACCAGTCGCTGCAGGATGCTGAGCTGAGCCGAGTGGGGATGGAGGCAGAGCTCCAGAGTCTCAGGGCTGAGAGACTTAAGCTGCAGGAGAAAGTCACCCAGGTACATAACAGAACATATTATGTCGTCATTAAAGGCCTGAAAATAACTCTTATGAGAGATGATGAAAGATGATTTGACTTCATTTCTAGATACTTTTTCACTCACTTTGTTTTCTGCTCGGCCTTTGTTGTCAGCTCTGTGGCGAGGTGACCTCTCTGGGGTCAGAGTTGAGTCTTACCAGAGGAGAGGGCCAGAGGAACGAGGTGGCGTTGGAGGAGGTTGGCCGCGGTCGGGCAGAACTGGCTCGAGACAAAGCGGCTCTCGTTGTTCAGCTGACGGCGTCTGAGAGAGAAAACACTGTGCTGTCGGAGGAGCTGGCTGCTTTCAGGTGTGCATCGTTGTTTGTCCACAACACATTAGCTGTCACACGTGTGAGTGGCTGTGTGTTGAGCTTTGTCTTTGCGTTACCCTGCAGGTCGGAACGTGAGTCCCTGGAGACGAGTCTGTTCGAGGTGCAGCAGCAGCTCGTTCAGGTGGAGTCTCGCAGAGAGCAGCTGGAGACGGAGAACCAAACCCTGCGAGTTCGCTGTGAAACTGCTGCTGGTGAGCGCAGGGAATAAAAGAATAAAACAGAGGAGAGAAAACTGAAGATATTTGATATAATGACAAAGCCAGTTGGTGAGTGATATGATACATTGTGGTTGAATTGTGTTTCCCTCTGTTTTTGTTTTCTTGGATGTGATTTCCAGCTGAACTGTGGCAACTTCGCTCCGACGGGGAGAATATTTTGACACAGGCCGAGCGGGAGAAACAGGCTCTGACTCAGTCTCTAAGTGCGGCACATCTGGAGGCCCAGCAGGCTTTACGCAAGGCCATCTCTGAACACCAGGAGGAGGTGGAGAGGCTGGTCTCAGAAAAGGTCAGAAGTGGTTCAGTGTGGTTCTTTAAGAGCTATTTGTGAATCTATTGGACATCTTGAATCAGGCTGTTCTATGCTGACGACTCTTTTATCCGTGTATGATCTCTTCTCTGGGCCACTTCGCTTCACAGGAAGTCTTGCGGCACAACCTGCTGATGGAGCACGAAGTCGCGCTGAGGAAGCTCCGGCAGGAGACGGAGGATCATCTTCACAGAGTGCAGAGGGAACGAGAGGAGCTGCAGGAGGAACTGAGGAGTCTCCAGCATGACAGAGACCAGAGTCTGCTGCAGGCCGAGACTGAGAAACAACAGGTCTGATCAGACTCCAACCCTGAGGAACTCCAGTAGATCTAGATTTTTATTTTGAAATGCACCAAATTGCTCACACTCATAGATATCAGTCTCTAACATATTGGTGAAAATTTGGAAAAACACTTATCTTGCAGTATTAAAAGAAAGTGATAAAAAAAAAATCTTTAAAAGACCTTTATCCAGATCCCAGCTAAAGTTCAATAGCTTCTCTCTTGGCCCATGTCCCATCCTTCCACCCAGTGTCATAGAAATCTGTACAGACAGGTCAGGGGTGAAAACAGAACTTCCTTGGCCAGGGTAATAAAGTGGAATCCTAATATCAGATAAACAATCCATACTTTCATCTCTTTGTTAACAAGACTTCTTCTTTCTCCCCAGGCTCTGTCTCTGAAGGAGGCAGAGAAAAGTGTTTTGTCTGACAGGGTGTGCAGTCTGCAGGTCGAGCTGTCAGCTGCATCCTTGGAGGCTGAAAGGATGTCCAGGGAGGCGGCGCATTACAAAGAGCAGGAGCAGGTGAAGGGAGTTCTTCCTGTCCGTATTTATCTTCTTTTGTTGTTGAATTAGTGTCAGTATTATCTAACACAAGCACATTAGACAGATTGACTAAAAATCTGTGTTGTTTTTTTTTATTTATTAATTTTTTTCCGCAGGTCAGAGTCGGCGCTCTGACCACTGAGCTGCTGCAGCTTCGCTCTCAGCTGGAGGACGCAGGCTGTGATCATGAACGTCAACTCCAGAGTCTACGAGAGACTTGTATGGACCTTCAGTCACGTGCTGATGTTGCTCTCAAAGAGGTAGATAATCCTGCACTGGACAGAAAGAACAGTTAGTGACTGCAATGCATCATGAAAAAAAAAAATTATCTTGATAGCTAATCTCAATACTTTAAAAACAAAAAATTTAAAAACTGATCTGTTCATTTACTTTTGATGATATTTTACTGAAGATGATGATACTGATACTGAGATATAAACGATCAAACATCTGTGGTGGATGTTCTGACTGTATTCACCATATTTTTATGCCTCAGTGCCGGTGATGGCCAGAGGCATTATGTTTTTGGTACTTTCCCATTCTTTTGAACATGATATTTGAAGAATACCTCGAGATTTTGGTAAAAATATTCACTTAGACTCACATATTAACTGATTCCATTTGGTTTGTCAAAGGAAAAGAATACGGTGGCCTCATGATTAAGGAATGTCTTAAAATTTTGACCAGTTTGTCTTTGGACTCAAAGATGAACTGATTTGATGGATTTCATTTTTGTGAATGCAATACATCAGAAACACATAGAGGTACTGAGACACCACTGGATCACGAAGGCATACAACCTCATTTGATATTTTCGCCCTCCAGTTGGACCAGTGCAGAGCTTCCTTCTCAGCGACCGAGGAGAGTAGAGACCAGCTGAGGCGGGAATTGCTGCACACTGAGCGCAATCTCAACCAAACTCAGGACGCAACAGAAAGCCAAAGGAGAGAGAGCATGGAGCTGCGACGCAACCTCGGTGATGTCAGTAAGGAGCGGGACACTCTCAGCCAATCAAACACCCAGCTGAGAGAAAGTCTGCGAAGTGCAGAAACAGAGAGAATCAGGTAAACAGATGAAAGAATGGGAGAGACCATTGGGCAAAAATACAGGTATGTTAGCATCAGTGTGTTTGAGTAAGTGTGTGTCTGTGTGTTTGTCAGCGTGAAACGACAATGTGAGGAGAAGGAGCAGAGGCTCGCTGTGCTGGAGGAGAACTTCTCCTCTGCTCAGAAGGAGGTGGCAGAGCTACGCAGCTGCCTGAGAGAAGTTGAAAGGTCACGTCTCGAAGCTCGGAGAGAGCTCCAGGAGCTGCGCAGACAGGTCAGACACGCCATCACATAACACGCTGGAGATTATGTGCTCATTATGTATTCAGTGTAAACATTCAATCAGTAAGAGCTAAACCACGTTTATCACTTTGAACCACGTTTTCAGGTTTTTCTCGGTAGAGTGACAGCGCTGTGATTTCTGCTTTTCTCGACTGCAGCTGAAGGTCCTGGATGTGGAGAAGGAGCAGAAAGGGAGGGAGGTGGCCGAGCTGCAGACTCGTCTGTCAGTGGAGGAGCAACGAGATGAGGAGAGAGGGAAAGATGTTTTCATCCTCAAACAGAAGTTGAATGAAGCTGAAGCTGCCAAAGAATCTCTCAAAAAAGAGGTGAGGATGGGGGAGGGGAAAACAAGTTTCCGATCACTGATAACTGTCTTCAGACCCATTTTTGCCTCATGAATGCAAATTCTCAGGAACAACTCCAGGGAATCTTTTCCACTTTGGTGCGAATGTTCCACCATTTCTTACAGATGAACTGTGACTTTACAATACATGTTTGTGGTCTTGTGAAAATATTATCTTAGAGCACCTTGAGAGAATCCTTTCAAATTTGGCACAAATGTTTGCTTAAACTCACGGATTAACTGAATAGATTTAGTTGGTCAAAGGTCACTGTGAGCCCTCTCAGACTTGATATCTCTTTAGGGAGATCTGTCACTTGGATTCAAAGATTAACTGATGAGATTTCAGGTTCCAAAGCTTAAGGTTGTGGTGACCTCATATTAGTCTGGAAATTGTTATAGACTGATACTGCACTGGTAGGTGGAGGCATACAACTGCAGGGTGGTAATTCTTGTTCTTGTTATTTTTCACTGTAGCTTTCCCTGATTCAAAAGCGCCTGGTGGAGTCGGAGTCTGGCTGGCGATGCTGTGAGAGAGAGCTGACGGTTCAGCTGCAGGAGGCACGTGGCTGTGAGAAGAAGCTCCAGGATGAAGCTAAGAACCTGTCGCTACGCGCTCAGGCAGCCCAGGACTCTGCTGCTCAGGCCAGCCTGCAGCTGAGCGAGGCCCAGGGCCGCCTGGCCGCCACAGAGGCCGAGCTGACCAGGGCAGAGGCCGGGAGGAGGGACCTGGAGTTTCGTCTTCACAGCCTCCAGTCGGCACTGACGCGAACGCTGGGCATCGGAGCAGCCGGCAGAGGGGGCCGGGGGAGGAGCCCGGTGGGGAGCTCCATATCACCCGGCAACATATCACGCCACCACAGCATCTCACCCCTGCGCTCCTCACTCTCGCCTCCTAAAGGTAAGAATGAAACATGCAGGTTTACATCTGCATCACAGGATTAAGGCTGTTTTCTAGGCCAATTGGGACATGAAGTCCTTCCATTGAGTCCTGGGTCTACCCTGGAGTAGAAGCCCTTTCAAATTCTACTCCGTGCTCCTTTCAGATGTCTGAACTCCTCACCCTATCCTTAAAGCTGAGCCCAGCGTTCCAATTTGAGTTACCTCATTTTGTCTACTCACATTTTTTCAGTCACTACCCAGAGCTCATGGATTGCTAATACAAAAATGTATTCCAACAGCAAATTCAATTAGAATTCAAAGAAGCTGGATAGAATAGCAAGGCACGATGGTTAAAGTGTTTCTTTCCAAACTAAGCTTACGAATGATTCAACACAAAATAAACAAGAAAAACAAGAATAAAATCAATATACAGTTATAATATCACCATTTCAAAACAACAATGGAATTTCATACAGAACATCTAACATGCAAAGCATTAAATTGTATAATTGACCAATAAAAACATGTTTATTTAAACTGTTGCAGGCCTGTCTTCAAGAATAATCTCTTTAGTTTCATCATAATTGTGACTGTTGAGAAACACGACAGACGCCACTAAATCACAGCTCTGTTGCATCAGTCTTTTGGTGACTTAACCAGACCCCTCCTTCCCTCCTGTGGATGTTCCAGCATATAAACAAACAACATTTGCAATTCTTTTTGTCTCATTTTCACAGAATTTCACGTGAGCACCCCTGACAACACTTTAGGCTCAGCGGCTGCATCTCCCGAGAGAGGGGAAACACCGTTGCCTCTTCTTCAGCCGGAGCTGGACCCTGAGACGCTGCGAAGTGGTTTGAGAGACTTCCTCCAGGAGCTGCGAGACACACAGAGGGAGCGGGTACAAGAGCTGCATGACACACTCACCACACACACACTCACCATACACACACTTTTTTGTTTGTTTGTATGATTCAAGTCTTTGTTTCTGGCTGATTTTGAAGGATGATGCTCGATGCCAGCAGGGGGCCCTGCAGCGGGAAATGGAGGAGCTAACACGGGAAAGAGACTCTGCTCAGAGTCGTCAGACTCAGCTTCAGAACACTGTACAAGAATACCAAGAAGGTTCAACTCTTTTACTTTTTGTCCATGTAGACTGAAAATCAAGAAAATCAAGTTCACAAACATTTCCTGTCCAACTGCACATCCATCTACATCGATTATAGACTTTGTATAAAAATGGATGAGATGTCTCCATTTACTCCCATCGTACAAAAATGAAGCTAAAGTATTTTAGATACATGTGACACCATCTTGTATTTTTGACATAATTTGGAATCTGTGCAGTAGTGATCGTGGTGTTGATCCGTTGGTCATGATCCACCCATACACTCGCTCAGCCAATTGCGAGTCAATCTCAGCTGTCAATCGTGACTCTTATATAATTATAACCAAACTTACTAGAAAAATTCACACTTGAATCAGTGTGATGAGAACTATCTAAAATGACAGAAACCATCTTTGGGAAACATTAATTTGACATGCACTTTGATTGTTTAATTTGGTCCATGTCCCATCCACTAACAAGGAGGAGACCAGGTTTATGACCTATACTGCAGGCAGCCACCAGGTGGCATTCATCATTATAAACAGATAGATAGATAGATAGATAGATGGATTGATGGATTGATCTTAACTTGAAACTAAACTAATGGCTACTGTAGATGATGTACATTGTATTGATTGTGTGTGGTTACAGGGAGGCGTGGCCTGGATGAGCGTTTGACCACCACACAGATATTGCTCCAGCAGCAGGAGGAGACGGTGAGG